GTTCTTCAGGGTCTCTGTTGATTTCAGTAGAGTTCGAGCTTTTAGCCTCTAATCAGATTTGAGCCAAGACGCGTCGTGTGACATCATCACAACACGCTTTCAGCCAAAGGCTCTGTTTGTTCTAGTGCGTTTTGTTTTAAAATGCCGTTTTAAAATGAAACCGGTCCTCGTCCACACCGGCGTTTCCTCTGTGTTTCAGACACTATCTCCGTCCATACTACACGATCGAATATGCATGTCACATGACCATTCATGCACACTGGGTATGCGCATACAAGTGTAAACAGGAAGTCGGTTGTTGGTCCAAACCGGTGTTCCTTGTAGGGCTTGCGCCGCTCGAAATGAGATTTGTTTGTGATTGCTCTAATCGTAGCTCGCCTCTTGCGCATGTGGGCAGCCGCAGTTTTATAAAATACAGAATCTAACTGCACAATGGCTGCTAAGCATGACAACAAATCCAGCAAAGATTCAGGTTCAGTCTCCTTGTTGTTGTGTATACGATCAAGGTAGCGTAACGGTCATATGGTAGGGGCTTGACGATTCAGGGAAGGATACGCAATGATCCAGAACACCCAATCAGGGTGCGGATGTGGGCGGAGCCACGCCTTCGTTTTCAACGGTCTTCGTTTTGGTCTGTTTACACTGAAACACGAGCCCGTAGTTTTCAAAGTAAAACGGAGTCTTCGGCATTTCCAGAAGTCTCGGAGTAGTGCAGACGGCCGGCGTAACCGTAGCAACGGTTATGCGTTTTAAAACGAAAACGCACACTAGTGTAAACAGGGTCTGAAAGGTTTCATTTACCGACAAACATCAGTGTGAAAGGCCGTGCAGGACGATTTCGGGCCATTGCAGTGTCGCCGATTCAAGCAGTTTTCCGCAAAATAAAGCACGAAAAAACTCGCCAAATTGCGTCCAAATTTTTTACAGATCAAGTCACGAGTTATTCACCGTATAACGAGCGAGACTTGAGCACAATAGGGAAAATGTCGTGTTTATCATGGAAAAGGAAGGAACTGGAAGATTGAGTATTAAAATACGGTGATGAACAGAGGAGTCAGTCTGTGTTGGTGAACTTTCTGTCCCCACTGCATCATTACGTAAGGGCTTAATCCGCCCGGCCGTATCGAACCCCTCGCCTCACGTTCAGGTCAATCTGAGTTGAGCTATGCCCCGTTTGAAGCCATATCACGCATCCAGCAGTGGAGACCACACGAAAAGAGGGCTTTCTAAGCCCCGTGTATGTGTGTGTGTGTGTGTGTGTGTGTGTGTGAGACGTCGTGCTCTGTTTCGCCCCGTTGAGCGTGTGTGACGTCTCCCTGCTTATCTTGCGCTCCCGTCTATGCCTCAGACACCAGCGCTCAACCTGAGGCATGCTTTATACCCGAAACATATGCGTGCCGAAGCTCTTCTCAGCCCGAGGCAGTTTTATACCAAAATGAACGACTTTATTAACCTCGGCTACATGACTGTAGTTACGTGTGATGTAATACATGACATTCGTGTTTCACAGAAAAACTAAGAGCCAAAGTGTTTTCCTTCACTTTCTGTGTGTGTGTGTGTGTGTGTGTGTGTGTGTGTGTGTGTGTTATTTGTAGAAATAATAAATGAGGACAGACAAAACAGTAAAGAAAAGAGGAAGGAGGAGGGAGGGAGTGGGGGGAAGGAAGGGCCGTCTCATGTGTCAAACATTTACCACAGCTGTGCTCATTAGAGATTGTGTGTGTGTGTGTGTGTGTGTGTGTGTTTGTGTGTGTGTGTGTGTTTGTGTGTGTCTGCTCCTGCATACAGGGGGACGCGGGGGAAGGGGGAAGGTGTTGATAACAGCAGTGAGAATGTTTCCATGTTTTTTTGGGGTGTGTGTGTGTTTTTCAGGGTAAGCAGAAGCAGCTGCGTTTAAGCCAATAAGAACTTCATGTTAACATCGCTATAGAAACAAACCAATCAGACCTGGTGTTCACTAAACGCAAACTGGAGCTGTTGACCAATCAGAGAGCTGTGACCAGCTTGGCGAGCAAACAGCCTCAGGCCTTCATGTGTTACCAAACTTTGGTGAAGAGAGAGAAGACTGGTGTAAATTTCCACTGTTAGTTAGAAAAGATTTTAACGCAGTTGTCGGTTTCACGCCGCAGAGTTCTGGTGCGAATAAACGTTGCTAGCTGAACCGCTGTGAAGCTGCGATAAGTGGTACGCCTGCTTTCACTGAAATGATGCTCCTTCATATTGCAGCACAGTTAAGGGTTTGCTCCAGATGCTCCAGTTTCCTCCCCCAGTCCAAAGTACACATGCATTGTAGGCTGTCTGGATTTTACAAATTGTCTGTAGCGTGTGTGTGTGTGTGTGTGTGTGTGTGTGTGTGTGTGTGTGTGTGTGTGTGTGTGTGTTGCGATTGTGCCCTGCACTGGCTTGCCTCCCTGTCCATGGTGGATGGATGGTGTCATGTCATGGCAAACCAGCAAGTCCATTTCCCAGAATGCACCATAAACGACAAACATGGCCGCCAACTACAACTAGCAATGGAACACACAGACACGTCACCTTCTCCTGAGGACTAATCACACCCACCTGTTCTCAATCACACCACACTACTTAAGAGACTCTCACACACACACACACACACACACACACACACACATAGCCGTTGCGAAGTATTACGCTCAGTTGACTTGTCTCTGTTGGTTACCTCGCCTTTACCGTGTGTTGTTGCTCTGGTTTTTAGATTTTGTAATTCTCTCAACTTTGATTCTCTGCCTTGCCTAGTTTGGATTGTTTGCATGATCATTTGACCCTTGCCTGTCTATGGTTATTGATTTCTGCCTAACCCTGTGGATTTGTCTGCTTATTAATCTACCACACCTGCACTTGCTTCCGTCTCAGCCTCCATTACATGGATGGATGGATGGATGGATGGATGATTGACAGGTCAGTTTGATTGCTTCAAAGCAGAATCAGAAGTTATTATTCTACAGATACAGCTAGTAGCACTTAGCCACTATGTTGTTCTTGACAATCAGCTATTTACTGTCGATGAAGAAACACTTTTTCCAAACTGGAACAAAACCTGCTCTTCTCCACTGCGACTCAGTTGAAGGTAGCTAATGTAGCTAGCGAATGCACTTCATTTATAATTACCTCCCTAATGTTATAAAGAGGGAGGGGCACTTAGCACGTTTGCCTCGCACCTCCGGGGTTGGGGGTACCTGTGTGCATGGAGTTTGCTTGTTCTCCTGGTGCTTCAGGGGTTTCCTCCAGGCACTCCGGTTCCCTCACCCTGTCCAAAGACATGCGGTGTAGGCTGATTGGCATCTCTAAATTGTCCATAGTGTGTGAATGTGTGTGCATGTGTGTGTGTTGTGCCCTGTGATGGGTTGGCACCCCGTCCACGGTGTCCCCCGCCTTGTGCCCAGAGCCCCTGGGATAGGCTCCATGCTCCCCGCGACCCTGTGTAGGATCAGCAGTAGGGAAAATGGATGGATGGATATTATAAAGAATGTGCCTTGTAGTCTAAGTACATAAACACACGTACCAGCGAAACATAAACAGAGCTACAGAACATGTTCTTTGATGACTCTGACTTGGTCTGATTGGCGATAGTATTGGGAATCGCCGATAGATATCACGTTGCAGAGGAACAACTGAACAAAATGGCATCAGTGTATCCCCAGTTTTCTCATCCTAGGGAGGCAGCCATGTTTTGTAATTGATGATCAGGGTGCAATAGTAAGTGCTTAACTTCAGTGCCATTGATACAAGCCAATAAAAGAAGGTTTTCTTCCGCACACACGATTTCTCTCCCACACACGATTTTACAACAAGCGAGTGATATAAAATATAAAGCGTGCCAATGCGGTGGTTGTTAGCAAGCGTAAAAAGCAGTGCGAGGCCAGCAGATGTTGGTTTGGGCTCGTGTGAGCAACGCGTTTGATCTGCCAGAAGGTTGTTCTCCTCCTCCTCCTCCTCCTCCTCCTCCTCCTCCTCGCGCTCGCCGTTTCTCTGTTTCCTACGCTTTATCTAGTGTTAATGAATGTAGGCTTTATGATAATGAGTGTAATTTAGGCTCTGGTACTGTTTTCTCCATTCCACAGTCTGAAGTTGAGAGCAAAACACGTGCCAGCCGTGTGTGTGTGTGTGTGTGTGAGATTGAAGTCTTCTTAGTGTTGTGCCCTGTTTTTACACTGGTAAATTTGCCATGTCAGTTCCTTTTCAGTTGCTTATATGTGGTAATGTGTGTGTGTGTGTGTGTGTGTGTGTGTGTGTGAACCCTGGGCTATTAACTCTAAGAGTTCTCAACCAATGTTGAAACTACATAATTTGCTGTCACACAGATTATGGTCACAAATAGCAAGCCACAACTTAATCTCTTGACTGTCAGAACTTGGGATCTTGCGAAATTTCCTGTGAACAAATGTGTGATCAGAGCGAAACATGCCAGAGGATAGTTCTGCATGGCTTTCATTGCACGTCCGTCTTTCTTGCACAATGCCAAAGTTACTGTGTGGTGAATACTGATACCTATTTCAATTTAAGGTATTGTTTTTTAAATCAGGACGGCCATGAGTAAACGATAGCGGTTAAGATTGAATAATCTGAGAAGATAGCCGTTGAAGACCAGCCAGAAATCGTGATAGCTCTGCTGATTGTCAGGAGAGGTTTGAGGATGTGTGTGAGCCTGGCATTAACTGGGCACACTGTCACACGTACATCAATCAAAATGTTTCCAACCTGATGTTCAGACTAGAAAGTGCCAAAGTGACAGCCGACCAGTCATTTTTTTAATGAGGTGTGAGACTTAAAGCTGCACACAAGCCACAAGTGAAAACAAAACCCTTGAGATTTACAGTGGTGCTTGAAAGTTTGTGATGGAATGTCCTGCATGAATATGACCTGAAACATCAGTAGTGCTAAAAGTAGATAAAGAGAACCCAATGAAACCAATGAGACAAAAATATTATACTTGGTCTTTTATTTATTGAGGAAAATGATCCAATATTACATATCTGGGGCGCACAGTGGCTTAGTGGTTAGCCTGTTCGCCTCACACCTCCAGGGTCGGGGGTTCGAGTCCCGCCGGGGCCGTGTGTGTGTGTGGAGTGTGCATGTTTTCTCCCTGTGCTGCGTGGGTTTCGTTTCCGGTCCCCCCAAAAGCATGCATGGTAAAGTGTCTAAAGTGTCCGTAGTGTATGAATGGGTGTGTGAGTGTGTGTGTGATTGTGTCCTGCGATGGACTGGCACCCTGTCCAGGTTGTACCCTACCTTGTCCCCGACACTACCTGGGATTGGCTCCAAGTTCCCCATGACCCTGAAACGGAGTAAGCAGTTGAAGATGGATGGATGGATTAAATATCTGTGAGTGGCAGAAGTATGTGAACATCTAGGATTAGCTGAAATTAAAGTCAGGTGTTTGTATTGTTCTCCGCTTGATATATCGCTTTGCTTGGATTTCCTCATTTGTAAGCTTTGAATAAAAGCGTCTGCTAAATGAATAAATGTAAATGTTTAGTTGTCGGCTCTCGACTCAGTATTTTTATGGACAACAATATTCCGATATTAACCGGATTAAGACGAGACTCTGATGAAGAAACTAGCATGTAAACAGCGGTGTTTTATTACCTTAATCCGACTAAATTCAATACTCGAAGTAAACACAAATCAAATGAAGACGTGTGGAGTGTTCCTGTTTTTGTGGCATCACCAACGTGCGTTACAGACATGTACACACCTTAATCACACAAAGTAGTGCTACAGTACCATGCGAGATCTATAACTGAGTTTTAGAGAAGCAAAGTGTGCAGAGTAGACGTGTAAGAGCCAGAGTAAGGTTTGTTTGTTTGTTTGTTTGTTTGTTTGTTTGTTTCTAAATAATGTGGAGGTCGTCATTTTAGGGGTCAGTTAGGTGTTCACAGAAGGGGTGAGTTTTTGAAAACAGTGACAGACTCTGCAGTGTGGATTGAGGTTGGAAGTTAATTCCACCACCGAGGAACAGTGAGATGGAAGAACTTGAGAATGTAAACAAACAGGAGTGAGAGAGTCCGATATTATACTATGAGAAGAAAAAAGATACAGATGTGATGGGGTTTTAACTGATGTTTCTGAAGCCATTGATTTCTTCTCTGACTGGCTAGAAGCTCGTGAATGACAGTCTGCTGACTGATTAATTTGTATGTATCTTTACTCACTTGTGAGGTCGTTTGGCTAGAACACGGATGATCGGCAGCTAGTGATTAACAGGAAGTGTTTGTGGGTTTCAAACTTGGTCATGTCAGGTGCGAGTGAGCAATCTGGGGCATCTACTTATCGTCTGTGCGTGACTTAAAGTGATCGCTCTGGGTCTTGGCTCACGTGTTTGACTGCGAAACAAAATACACAGATATAATACACAAACGAACGAAATGCTGTCTGGGGGAAAAAAAAAAGCAATTTAATTGGAAAAAAATGATAAAGAAATCTGCTTCTTGCCAAGTGTCACTGACCACAGCTGAACCAAGCCTGATGCACTATAGTGTCAAGACACAGCAACAACCTGGAGTCAGCAGCAGTGTTTTCCTCATTTGAACACAGGGTAACTGTGCTCATGATAACAGTCTCACATTGTGTCATGTAAACCATCTGATGCAGAAGTAAAAAGTAAAAAGTCTGCAAAGTTTCAAAAATCAAAGTGCACGACTAACAGAGTTACTGACTCCCAAAAGAAGGAACCGATTCTGAACAGCTGGAACGAGTCACTAGTTATTCCAGACTTACCTCCTGTACTAACCCACGTAATTCCAAACTTACTTCCTGGAATAATTTACGTAATTCCACACTTACTTCCTGTAATAACCTACGTAATTCCAGACTTACTGCCTGTACTAACCCACGTAATTCCAAACTTACTTCCTGGAATAATTTACGTAATTCCACACTTACTTCCTGTAATAACCTACGTAATTCCAGACTTACTTCCTGCACTTCCCTACGTAGTTCCAGACTTACTTCCTGCACTAACCTACGTAGTTCCAGACTTACTTCCTGTAATAACCTACATAATTCCACCCTTACTTCCTGTAATAACCTACATAATTCCAGACTTACTTCCTGTAATAACCTACGTAATTCCAGACTTACTTCCTGTAATAACCTACATAATTCCAGACTTACTTCCTGTAATAACCTACGTAATTCCAGACTTACTTCCTGTAATAACCTACATAATTCCACCCTTACTTCCTGTAATAACCTACATAATTTCACCCTTACTTCCTGTAATAACCTACATAATTCCAGACTTACTTCCTGCACTAACCTACGTAATTCCAGACTTACTTCCTGCACTTCCCTACGTAGTTCCACCCTTACTTCCTGTAATAACCTACATAATTCCAGACTTACTTCCTGTAATAACCTACGTAATTCCAGACTTACTTCCTGTAATAACCTACATAATTCCAGACTTACTTCCTGTAATAACCTACGTAATTCCAGACTTACTTCCTGTAATAACCTACATAATTCCACCCTTACTTCCTGTAATAACCTACATAATTTCACCCTTACTTCCTGTAATAACCTACATAATTCCAGACTTACTTCCTGCACTAACCTACGTAATTCCAGACTTACTTCCTGCACTTCCCTACGTAGTTCCACCCTTACTTCCTGTAATAACCTACATAATTCCAGACTTACTTCCTGTAATAACCTACGTAATTCCAGACTTACTTCCTGCACTTCCCTACGTAGTTCCAGACTTACTTCCTGTAATAACCTACATAATTCCACCCTTACTTCCTGTAATAACCTACGTAATTCCAGACTTACTTCCTGTAATAACCTACGTAATTCCACACTTACTTCCCGTACTAACCTACGTAAGTTTGTAAAAAAAAGCCTCACCTCTGGTCCTCATCGGCTGCTTGTGAACAGACGGAGCTGAAACTTGTTATGGTAGTGGGCGTTTCCTTTTTGAAACACACTGATAGCGGTAGACCAATCACAACAGACTTGGACGTCTGACCAATCAGAGCAGAGTATGCTCTCTGAAAGGAGGAGTTTAGAATGAATCATCTAGAACGGATCATTGAACGAGTCGTTTGTGACACTGGGGGGAAAAAGGTAACGCTGCAGTTTAAATTATGAGCACATTAAGATGTTTTTGATCGCGGATGCATGTAAACGTATTGTATGAGACCTTTAAAACAAAAATCGGCACGTTTCAAAACCATAATAGGTGTGCTTTAATTCTCGTGCCTTTCTATTCTGTGACAGATTGCTTTTAACAGTAATTAAAAGTGTTGTTTGTGTACATTCGTTGTCTTTTTCATTGGTGTTTCGAATACAGGAGCACGTTCTCCACCAGGACAAAGGGTTTGACGTACTTACTGTAGATTTGGTTCAGTGGAAAAGTTCTATTCTGTAACTGAGGCTGGTTAGTAGAGCTGTGTCGTGATTGGTGATTGGTCATGTGTCCACAGGTAAGGTGGCGGTGAAGAAGGAGGACCTGCAGAAGTATCATGGCAAAGACACCTGGTTCCAACTGCAGCCCGTCAGTGCAGACTCGGAGGTGCAGGTGGGTAACTCCTGTTTCTTCCTCCCTCTTATTCCATTACACTAGCCCAAAACCAACACGCTCTCTTACTCCCTTCAGTAGTCCGAAGTCTTCACCGCTGAGCTAATGCGTAGTAGTATAATAATAATAGTAATGTAGTATAATGAGTGTTGTACAGTCTGTACAGGATTCCGCAGAGTTTTATGTGATCGTTGCAGGCAAAAACGGCTTTTCTTTCAAAAACGTGCGACGCAAATTGCCGAAAGCTACTCGAACCGGCGAAATCGCAGTTGCCCAAAATTGTTTTGCACGCTCTTTCACGGTGATGTTCGTTGGTAAATGAGACCTTTTAGGTGTACTCATGTCCGACGCACGTGTATCGAAGAGGACTGATCGCACGTCACATGACTTGCCTTGGCCCGAACACTGCGGAGTTTCCTTGCTTTTGCGTTCATTTCTGCGTTCATGAAATCCTGGAGGGACTGATTATACGTATCATGTGATGGGAAGAGCTGCCTAGTGGGGGGTCAGAGTGCTGTAGGTCTGTGTGCTATAAATAATAAATTTAACACAACATAACACTGTCCCATGTACATACAGTAACATTAGATAACTAGGGTGCTAGAACACTGAGGCTTAGAAATGTGTGCAGCTGTCAGTGTCCAGCTCGTCAAAGGGTCAGTCTGAAGCCTTCCTTCATTCGCCACTTGCTTCTGTCTAAAGTGACACAATGCACACTGTTGTGGGTTTCAGGTCCTGCTTAAGGGTTTCTGCGTAATCCTGAGGCTTACACTCACAACTTCGTAAGTAATCCTAGGTTAATAACATAAATATTTAGGGAAGGGACGCGGTCATGGTCGGTCAACGAGACAGCGACGAACAGTGTACAGCAGCGTGTGTCAATAGAGCTGAATTGTTCATGCTGACTCTCACAAAACAGTAAATGAACATATAAGGACATCAGCTGTTTAACGCTGCTCCCTTCTGCTTTGGTCGAGATTTCTACAGCAGAGCGATCAGACTCCGGTTAGAAACGACTGCAAGAATGAATCATACTCGGTCATTTACTCGCTCGCTAGCTGTTTAAGGGTGCACCTTTAAAATGAATCAGTGTGTGTGTGTGTGTGTGTGTGTGTGTGTGTGTGTGTGTGTGTGTGCGTGCAGTGTAGTGAAGATTAACACATATAGAATATATTCACCTCAGACTGTTTTGTTGTTGTTTTTTTTAACGATAAGTTGACTACCCCGAGCGCGTGAAGGCATCCGGACTTGTGTGAATTTAGTTCAAAGAAACGTTTCACACACAGACACATTCCCTCTTCAGCCCGAAGAAACATCTGTATTATTCAGAAGGCTAGATTTGCCCTAAAGCGGATCTCCAGTAACACAGTCGTATTCATTCGTGACTGCGAAGAAAGGAAGCGCGTGCAGTGTGTGTGTGTGTGTGTGTGTGTGTGTGAGAGAGAGAGAGAGAGAAGGAGAGAGGAATGGGCTGAAATGGAGAGGAAATATGGAGTCTCCAATCATAGAGAGCACATTGTTGTGTGTCTGT